TGCTGCTCCTGCTGCTGCTGCTGTTTCTGTTGATTCTTCTGCTGCTGCTGCTGCTGTTTCTGCTGCTGGTGTTGCTGCTTTTGCTGTTGCAGTTGCTGTTGCTGCTGCACCTCCATTTGGTGCTGGCGCCGCTGCTTTTCCTGCAGCAGCAGCAGCAGCAGCAGCAGCAGCAGCAGCAGCAGCAGCAGCACAGCTGCTGCAGGTATCTTTTTTGCATATCTCGCATCTATCGCAGCGCTGGGGGCCCCTCTGTGTATATATTTGTTGGATGCTGCGGGCCCTCTCAGCAGGCAGCAGCAGGGGGGGCCCCCCAGGCTGTGTTAGGGTACTGGGCGAGGGGGGCCCCCCGTCTGTGTCTTCATCCTCCTCAGAAGCTGTGCAGCAGCAGCAGAAGCAGCTGCTGCTGCTGCTGCTGCTGCAGTTGCAACTGCTGCTGCTGCTGCTGCTGCTGCTGCGTTTGTGGCGGCTCAAGAGGGAGGGGAGAGGAGAAGCTATTGCTGCTGCAAGTCGTACCCGTAGAGCTCTCCTTGCTGCTGCTATCTGCTGCTGCTGCTGCTGCTGCTGCTGCTGCTGCTGCTGCTGCCCCCAAACAGCAAATTTATGATAAACTAAAATTTCTCCGGGGCGGATGCCGACGCCGGGAATCGAACACAGAAATACATGCGGCCACCCGTTCAAGTAGACCTGCAGCAGCAGCAGCAGCAGCAGCAGCAGCAGCAGCAGCAACAGCAGGTGCAGCAGCAGCAATAAGAGCAACAGCAGCAGCAGGAACCGCAACAGCAGTAGCAGCATAGACGGCCACAGCAGGAGCAGCAGCAGCAGCAGGAACAGCAACAGCAGCAGCAGCAGCAGCAGCAGTAACAGCAGCAGCAACAGCAACAGTGACAGCAGCAGCAGCAGCAGCAAGAATAAGAGCAGCTGGCAGTGAATCTCTATATCTCTTTTGTCTCCGCATAAATTTATAAAAGTACCCTGGGGGCCCCCAGGGTACTTAATTGGGGGCCCCCCTGCAAGAGCTTTCTCTACAGGGGGGCCCCCCTCAGGGTTTCTTTATGCCTGCATCCCCTCCATTAGGGTTTAGGGTTTAGGGTTTAGGGTTTAGGGTTTACCAGGCAGAACTGACAGTTGGCTCTGAAGAGGGGGGCCCCCGGGGCCCCCAGCAGCAAGGGTACATCTATATCAACAGCAAACGCAGCGGCGCTACACAGCTGCGAGCAAACTAGCTGCCACGAGGGGCCCCCTGCTGCTGCTGCTCCTGCTGCTGCTGCTGCCGTTCCTGCTGCTGCTGCTGCTGCTGCAGTTGGAGGAGAAGTTTCCCCTGCTGCTTCTGCTGCTGTTGCTGCTGCTGCTGTTGCAGAAGGACCTGCTTTGCTTCCTGTTGCGAGGCCCCCTGCTGCAGCAGGGGGGCCCCCTGGGGGGCCCCCTGCTGCAGTACCCTCTTTTTGGGGGCCCCCAGCTGCAAATGAAGTTATACTTGTTGCATGCAGCAGCGGCAAAGGAAACGAAAGACACTCGGAGGTGTCTGTACACCCCACGCGCTCGACAGCACCCCCCACATGCTCAAGTACTACAGGCACCTGCAGCAGCAGCAGCAGCAGCAGCAGCAGCAGCAGCAGCAGAGAGAGTAGCAGCAAGAAGAACAGTAAGGAAAGCAGCAACTGGTGCAGCAGGAACAGCAACAGCAGCAGCAGCAGCAGCAGCAAAATCAGCAACAACAACCAAAACCCCCCCCCACCACCACCACCACCAGCAGCTGCAGCAGCAGCAGCAGCAGCAGCAGCAGCAGCAGCA